AACGCTGGCTCTAGATAGGGGTGTTTGTGTTTTTTGCACGGCCTTTCTCCTTTGCGCGTGAAAAAGGTAAAGCAAGGGGGTTTCAATCTGTAACAGCAGCGCTAAATCCTACACACTGGACTTTTACAACTCCACATATAGTACTGCATGTCGTTGGATATGTAGCACACAGGAATCATTAGCTCAGGATCACGTTATAAAAGCCACAGGTGAACAGTATATACTCTGCATCCATGTATTATTTAAAAAAAAAAATGAATTAGTCATAATGCACAACACTTATGTGAAAAGACCTGCAGAGATTTTTGAATTTTATGTGACTTCATGGGGGCAAAACTGTGGCAAACTCAAATGGAGTGAAGCTGATTTAATAATAAATAATCAGTGAAAAACAAATGGTAAATGGTGATGTATTCAGTGAACTGTTCCAGTGAATCCTCTGGAAATATTGTTTCACCAGCCCACATGGTCAGCTGGCTGGACACGCCACACACAAACACAATGGCACGTCGCACTTGAAATACATGTATTTCTTTTACTTCAAGGCTGTAGGCAATTTGAACATACACAATGCAAAACCTTTCACCTTTCTCTCTGCTGTCTCGTGTCACTCCATTCCAATGTTGACCCTTGGCTAAACTGTTTTTATTTTTCTCTTTCTCTTCTCCAAGATCTTCGTTCTATTGGCTTGTTTCGTACTATATGCTGTTGTGACGGGGGTCATTCTTCTCTTGACTATTATACACCCCCAGTGAATCTCTTTTATGATGATAATAGTGGTTACTCTGAGTCTCGGCGTTGTGTTTTGATGTTGGTGGTGGATTGACTGTTTGCTAGAGGCTCCAATGAAAAGACACAGACCGCTCTGATTCATTGATGATTTGTTTATTGCTTACAAGCACTTCAGGATTAAAATATTCAGTATAAAAGAAAATCATAATCAGAGGAAATGTATAATACTAATTAATGATTTTTGTGGCCAAGCTCAATAACAGTCTAAACTTGACCAGGATCAGAGACATCCGTTACAAATGACATAACAGACACTACTGATACAGGTGAATCAGTGCACATAGATAATCACTCTGGATAGTCTCAGCTATACATTAATATTTACAGGTTTTCATTAAACAGTCACACACTCACCTTGGAGATACAAACCTGGTCTGACTTGTTGGCCCTGGGATGGCCTTTATAGCTGCATCGTTACCATGGATACAGTGTTGTGTTGAGTGAAGTATAAACCAAATAAAAAAAGGAAATATATACACCTTACAACTATCAAATGAAGGTTAAATTACTGACTAAATTATGTCCTATATTACAAGATTTTGATTACACATATTAACAATTTAAAGCTCTTTAAATTGTGTATTTAACATGAAAGAGGCATCATTGCACACACAGTCTGGTACTGGTACACAGTAAAAGTTGTGAAATAATGCCTTTGATGCCTGCTCAAACACCACGATAAAGTTCAGCACCTGTTTTGGCACTGATATGGAGTCCAACCTGTTCACTCTCTGAATTATTTTTTGAGGGATTATTTTTCATCCTATGCACACGCAATGGTAACTTTTGGAGCATAAGATATGTATTTTGTGAGAATAAGATAACTTGTGCAAACTAGACTTAACTTAAGAAGCAGTAGGTATCACAAACACACACAAATATCAATAACAGTGCTCCTAAGAGGGCCTTACTCCTTCACATCAAGCTGGAGAGAACAGTATAAAGATCGAGCGAGCTTTCAAATAGGCGTGGAAGCTTGTATATAACAGTCATGGTGCCAGTGAAGTGTACACAGACAGCAGCCCAGTGGTTATTGCTAAACAAAAACAGGAAAGATATGGTTGAGCGCCGCTCTGGTGTTTTTTTTAGCTCTGCCACTTGTCTCGCTTTGTGGCTTGAAACCTCCAC